TCAGCGGAGACGATGTGCCAGCCAGCGCTGGCCAGAGTGGTCCAGCCCCCTCAGAGGAGCTGGGGCGGGGCGGAAGCCGAGTGGGTAGAGCAGAGGACCCTGAGGCTCCTTCTAGGGTGGAGCCAGGACCAGTCCCCTGGAGCAGAAGTGCTTGGTATCCAGCGCCTCACTTGCCTCGGGGTTCCCCTGTTCAAACGCACATACCCTCGGCAGTCGCTGTGCTGGTCATACTGCGTGTTAGCTCGCTGCCCACAGGACAGCCCTTCTGGGAGAGGGCAGAGGGGCCGCCATCTCCTCCATCCCTGGGGCTGGGGCAGAGGAAGCCACACCAGGCTCCAGCTGGTGGAGCTAGCGGCCTATCCCCTGCCCAGGCCTGTGCCGCCTCCGTCCCTGAGCCACCAGAGCTCATCTGCAAGGTGAGGAACTGACGTGGGTCATCCTAGGGTGGGGCTCTCTTAAGGGAGAGGCAAGGGGCTGTCCCACGAGTGACTGCAGGGCTTCTCAGAGCCTTTAATGTACGCTGGGGGGTTCCTGAGGGGCTGTTTCATAGAACACGCAGCTGCAAATGCCACAGCGTACTCTCACAATTCTCTGTGAGGTGCTCTGAGGCCGGACAGCCTTCATCTCTCTCCTCCTCGTCCTCCCTCCTTCTCTCCCGCCTTTGCTCTCCTTGTATTTCTTTCAGCCCCTGTGCTGGGCACTGAGGACACAGGCAAGGATAAAAGTCCCTTTAAGTTCCCGACGGGGGCAGGGGAGGGTGGCTTAGCAAGGATTTGCATGTAGCACCCGGCAGGATGAGGCAGGAACCCGGTCTGTGCCACACACATTACACAGTTCTCTCGTTTGAGTTTCACGGCAGCCGCTGGAGGCAGAGGTTATGACAGCCCATTTCCCAGCTAAGGAAACAGAGACCCGGAGAAGAAGGTATCCGACCAGAGGCTCAGTCAGGTACAATGCAGGCGGGTTCCGGCCCCAGCCCCGCTTGAGAGTGGCGCACTCTTCCTCGGTGTGCCTTGGTGGTGAGCACTCGTGCGGGCCACCCTACAGGCCTGGCAGCTAGCCTTTCCCTCTGGAGGCTCTGCATTCATGCCCTCAGTAAGATGCGCTGAGCGTCTGCTGTCTGCCGCCAGGGCCCTAGGCACCAGGACATAGCACGAACAGGACACCTTCCCTGCCTTTCGGAGCTCTCTGGCTAGTGGGAGAGGTGACGGCAGGTAGACGAGCACAGGGGGACATACAGAGCGGCCCCTGCCTCCCACCCCATCTACACATGGAAGGAAGAGACAGAGAGCCAGGAGACTTGGGCTGTGGGGTCAGATCTTGAGCTACACTGGAAGAATAAAGGCATCAGGTAGCTGGCAAGGGGAGTCCAGAGAAAGCGCGTTTGTGGAGGAGGCCCCGTTCAGCACTGCCTGGAGGCATGGGTCTTGTAGGCTGGCCCGTGGATCCCTCCCCTTGCTCAGCTGAGAGCCCGCGACCTTTCTGAGCAGTCATGGTGGGCGTGCGCCAGGCCTTCCACAGGCCACTGTGGTGCCTGAGCCGGTGGGAGGGCCGCCAAGGCTGCCAAGGGAGAGCAGGATGCAGAGGACAAGCAGGGGAAGGGTGGGAGGGCCAGGCCGCTCGGGGACCCTCACACTGTTCCCAGAGGCTAAAGGGGTGACACAGGCAGTCAGCTGATGGCTCTGGAAGTGAGCCGAGGCTCCACCCTCATGCTCAGTGGCAGCTGGTGCGGGGCCAGAAGAGCTGGGGTTGTGTGCTTTGTTGAGGGGCTGCCCCATGGAGCATCTGAAGCATCTGAACTGGCCTTGAATGTTAATAGGTTCTTAATTCTGAAGAAATAGTAACAGGCACCACTTACCCCCCTAACTCTGTGCCAGGTCCCCAGTTCTGTTCACCCCAGGAAGTGCTTGCTGCCAGTCAGCCTTCTGGGTCCCACATGTGTAGCACGGTGACCCCAGGGTGGGACAGTGTGGCCAGGAAGCCAGCAGCCTGGGTTCTAGTCCTGCCATATGATCTGAGACAGACACGTGCCATCGTGGGGCCTCATTTTCCCCATCTGTAAGATGGATGGACAAGACAGGCTGCAAGGATCCATCCAGCCCTGACCATTGGCGGCTCTGTCAGCCACGCCACACATCTCGTGGCCCGGAGCGTGGCCCGGAGCCAAGGGGAAGATAATGCAGCTCCTGTGTCTGTAGCCGGTGAGGAGCTGAATTACCAGCGCAGAGCAAACCATATTGTTCCGGCCCCGCAGGCGGGGCGGTTCAGCCATCTTTGGGATGGTTGCCAATGTGATGGTGAGGCCCGATGGCCTCCAGCTCAGGGAGGAGGTACCTCCAGAAGCACTCAGGCTGAGAGGACTCCAGTCTCACATGAGGCTGCCTGTGTGGTGGCTACTGGGCTGTGAGGCCCAGACCTGTGTCCCAGACCCTCGAGGAAGAGGGGAAAGGTTATTCCATCCCATCCCAGGCAGGACCTATCTGGACAGCGAGGTGACTGAGAGGCTCAGAGCTCAGCCTGCCCTCAGGGGCTGGTCAGAGAGTCACAGGAAGACCAGGGAGCAGAAACACGGCCACCATATCAGTACCACAAGTGAGGGCAGCATGGGCGTCCAGAAGGCCGTTGACCGGCCTGGGGACTTAGGAAGGCTTCCTGGAGGAGGGACACGGCGGCATTTGGCCTTCCAGAGCGCCACCACGGGTTGACCACTTCCTGTAGCATCCAGTCTGCAGCAGGCACCCCTTAACCCAGTGGAGACAAGAAGTGACAAGTGCCTGGAGATGGGGGGGCATGGCTTCAGGCCCAGCGGCACCCCCAGGGATTCAAACAGCAGGGTCAAGAATCAGCACCCACCCCTGCCCCATTCTCCTCTGCAAGGACTCTCCTCTCAGCCAACTCTCCCCTTGTTTTGAAAAATATAGTTTTTAATTAAAAAAATGTTAATGTCAACATGTAACATTTTTAATTTCTATTGTTATAAGTTATTAAATATAAACTTCCCCATTTAATATCTACTATAGTAAACAGTAACTGTAGCATGTCAACACCTAAACAGAAAATCTTCAGGCTTCTCTGTAATTGTCAGAAATGTAAAGAGGTCCCAAAGCCCTTTCCGCTGATGACCCAGCTGGCCCTGCCCTGGGCTGGAGAAAGAGGGCCCTGTGCTCCGGAGCCTGGGTGGGAACTTCAGTGAGTCACATGACCTCACTCAGGTCTTTAGGTGGAAGATGGGGGACCTCGCCCACCTCTCCCACAGTTGCTAAGACCACTGAAGTGGACACACTCGAGGCCTGGGGCCCACCCTCCCAGCTCCGGGGTTCCATTGCTTGCTTCCAGATCGACTTGGACTGGAACACTGGATTACCGCCCCCCCACCCCAATTATCCTTTGCCAGCAAAACAACATCTTGGCTCATTATTAGTCTAGATTCTCAGAAAGAAAGATTGCCTGCTGGCAAGTCCATGGTGTGGGAGAAAGCTGAGTGACTTCTTTAAAGCATTAGGCTCTGTTTAGCATCCAAAGTTCAGGGCCACATCAGCTCCCCAGTGACAAATTTATGGTTAGTGATGATTAGCAGGGCTTCTCGTAAGTTGTGTTTCTTTGGCTGGGAATGGAAATGCAATCTCCCTTTCTTCATCACATATAAGCCTGAGATTAAACAAGGGCCCTTGGGCTCTTCCCAGGTTAGGAAGAAAGCACAGATCTGTTTGAGTGGCATCGATCACCTGGGCCAGCCACAGGACAGCCCTGGGAGATTAACGCAGGGTGGTGGCATGGGGGCAACATGGGGAGCAGTCAGGAAGCCCCGTGGAACTGGTGGAGTTTGGGACAGGCCCAGGATTTTGTCTGTGGAAGACCAGAGAGGCAAGGGCGTGGATGGGGAACACTCCCAGGGGGTGTTCAATAGGCCGTGTGGAATCGCAGGCCCGTGGAGTGCGAGTACTTGATGGCAGGAGACAAACCTGGGAAGAGGCCAGAACAACTCTTGGGGGAGTAAGCAGGGAGTGAAGGGTGAGATGCCGGACTCAGCCCACCATTAACAAAGCCAGTGGTGATGGTCCGGGAGGCTGCTTTGTGGCCACCACCTGCCAGCCGACCCCTCAGGGCAGCAAGTCTCTCAGAAGACCTGATGAGAGGCTGCATATGTCTCAGTGGCCCAGGAGATCCCCTCAACCAAAAGCCTCCTCTGAGGAGGGGCTGCCTGTCCTAGCCAAGGTCCCCACGAGGAGCTATGCTTTCTCTAGATCTGCAGGAGAAGGCACAAGCCTTCTGAAGTCAGCACCCCCATAGAAAAATCTAGTGTCAGAATACCTGCCCTGTCTTGTCTGTGAGGCAGAGAGGATCATTCCCACCTTACCAGAGAAGTGATTTTCTCTGAGACACACAACTAGTCAGGAGGCCAGACTCCTGACTTCACAGTGACCTAAGGGAGCCATACTTTCTGTGTGAGGCGGGCTCTTGCCGGCTCACAAGGGCCCATGGTGCCCCTCTTCCCCACTGCACCTTCAGGGATCTCCCCTGGGAGCTTGGGGTCAGCCTCGATGGAGCATTCACACCACAGAAATGCCACACCACCCCGAGCCCCGTCCCCCAGTCGTTCGACGGCCCAGCAGCCCGCTGGGTCTCCCATGCCGCCGTACAAGGTGTGCATGAGTGCTGTTGTGGAATTCAGTGAGCGGAGGGGGCGACTCTCCACACGAACCAGAAGCTTCCTGGGAGGAACCCTGGCACTGGAGTGCTTTCTTTGGTCAGCTGTTGGGTAGTTGGGCCCACTCTGCATCAGTCCAGTAGTGTGATCTGAAGAAGTGAGAAAATCCAGCTGAGAGCAGAGGTCAGCGCGCCCAGCACAGTGCAGGTTTCCCTCAGTGCCATTTCGTTGTTTCATTTCAATTTAGACTTTTTAAAAAAATCTTTGTTATAGCTGCTGGGGTGTGTATGTTCTTAAGTGTATGTCAGATCTCAGTTGCCCCACACCCGTGCTTACAGCGGACAGGGTCAAGATGGAGCTGGTCCTGGCCCACAGGTGAGCCACCTTGGGGAAGGGAGGCCGCTGTGTGTCCCCGTCTGCGGCTTCCTCCCCTCTGTCCGGGGCTGGCTCCTCTCGGGCCGGACGTGGAAGTAAGGCCTGAGGACGCCGTGTGGGCGGTCAGCAGCTCTTCCTTTCATCTGCCTTTAGCCTCTTGATGGACTTGCGACCTACAACCTCTCACTTGACCCCTGATGACCTCATAAATTCTGGAAACTCCTCACAAATCACCAGGAAGATAAATATCAACTGGGGTCATCTGAAGGGGGTCTGAGCCACTCCAGGCAATCAGGGAGGGAAGATCAAGTCTCTTGGGGTGGGGGGTGGGGTGTCCCAGGAACTAGGAGTGACTGAGGAGAGAGGCACACAGCCCACCCAGGGGACCCTCATTGTCCCCATCGTGCCAGAGCCCTCAGAGCACATTTCGGTGTAATCCTCAGCGTGCACTGACTGGAGGCCGGGCCTCTAGAGACTCGATGTGCGTGGTCCCCAGTGCCTGCCCTGGAAACCCAGGGCAGCCCAGCTCTGCATTCCACAAGGCCTCTGCGGCAGGAGCGGGACAGGGGTTTATAGTCTGAGGTACTGGCCCAAGTCCTGGTGGTGCCTCTCAGTGCCCCATGGGCCTTTGGGCAGGTGTCTTAACCCCGGCGTCCTAACCTCTGAAGGGGGTGCTTGCCTTTATAGGGGCGAGGGGCCCAGAACATTGCCGCTGCCTAGGCTTTGGTGCCACAGTAGAGCCTCAGGGAGCCTGGGAGGAGAGGAGACAGGGAACAGCCGGCCTTGTGAGGGACAGGGCTTCTGAACCTGGCCCAAAGAACAAGCTGGAAGGGCCTGCTAAGCAAGGGCAAGATGGGCAGGGCTCCAGATAAAACAGCCCACTGCAGCTAGAGGGTGGGGACACTAACAGGCAGTGGGGCGGCCCAGCCCTGGCATCCTGGGGACGTCTCCCCTTTCTGAGGCCTCCCAACCAGCAAGGAGGGCTGCTGCTGGCTGCCCTTCTAGATGAGGCTTCACAGAACAAGGTACCGGAGGTTGGCAGACATTTTCCTTTAAAAGGAAACATGCCAACCAGCAGGAATCCCAAGCTAAGATGTTGGAAATGGGGACACGTGTGTTCCTGGACCTGGAACAGTCTGCATGGGGCGCAGGGGTGTGCGGGTGGCGCAGAAGGCCAGCAGCAGGTTGCGCAGGGCTCTGCATTTGGGAGTGAAGGTTCCACGGATCCTGGGAGGACTGCAGTGACCAGGGACAGAAAGAGACCCCCTCGGGCTGCCAGGGGATGGGGGGGTGGCGTGTAGTTCAGGGCATGGCTGTGGGGCTGCTGAGGACGAGCCTCTGTGCAGGGACGCAGTGAGAGGTGGCCGTGCGGGAACAGGGCCTCCCAGGAAACAAGTGCAGGCCCGCCAGGGCACGTTTGCTTAGGGCTGCTGCCCGCCCACCCAGCCCCTGACCCGTCAGCGCTCCCCTCTGGGCCCAGCCTGAAACCAAAGTCTCCGCCTGCCTTCGTGGGGCACGGGCCATCCCTGTGCAGCCGGAAAGGTGCCCATGCTGCCCCCACCTGCCCTGGTGAGGAAACGGTCTAAGGCCCTGAGCTGTACTGGGTTCTGTGAGCTGACCTAGGGCAGGGACGCTTCTTCCGTGGGTCCCCTGGAGTCCTTCACAGTGCTCTTCTCAGAGCGAGGCCTGGTTCTAGACCTGCGCACGGCGTCCTTGGCTTCTCCCCGAGAGCTCCCCCCGCGGACGGCTAGGTGTGCACCCCGGCGTGGGGGGGTGGTGTGCATGCTAACAGCAGCCCAAGAACAGTGCGTTTGACGGTGACATTTTATGGGCCGCCTCTCTTCGGCCTGAAATGTTCTCTCTCTTCCCTCCCCCCGGTCCCCTACCCCTCTCTCGTCTGTCTCTTCCCAGAGGGTATGAACTGCATGAACAAAGACCACGGCTGTGCCCACATCTGCCGGGAGACGCCCAAAGGTGGGGTGGCCTGTGACTGCAGGCCCGGCTTTGACCTTGCCCAAAACCAGAAGGACTGCACACGTAGGTAGATGGAGACAAATGGGTCAGACATCCCCACGTGTCTCCTGCCATTGCTTTATAGGGGGCGGGGGAGGGGGTCTGTCCAGTCTGCTGGACGTTGCCCAGGGAGGTCTCTCAGCCCCTGGGGGTGGAGAGAAAGGGCAAGGTCCCCGAAGAAGCCTGGGGAGGCATGAGGGACGGGGGCTGTGAACTCCAGACATGGCGTTAGCCCAACCTGGCATACCAGTACCAACAGCCCCAGAGCAGGACCGTGCCTAACAGCCCTGCAGTGATTATCTTAACCCCCAACCCCAGAGCCCCATAGGCCGAGCCTGAACTCTCCAGCGGGTATGGAGGGCTGTGGCACAGAGGCCTACAAGCTTGGGCTTCTTGGCGGAGCAGGGCAGCCCTTGGTAAAACAGGGTGGTAGAAATAAGGAAAGGAGCTGGGTTGGGGCGGGGACGGGGAGCCCCAGCCCAGCCTGTGCTGACCTTATTTCCAGGATCAAAGATCAGAACTTTACAGTCCGCCCCTGCAGGGCCCACCGTAAATGGTGATGCCCCGTGAGATCTGGGTTGAATGAGGCCTCTGGCCAAAGGTACCATCCAGGACCGGCCTGGAGGTCAGCCTGCAGGGCTCGGGTGTTAGGCAACCTCTTAATGTGGTCATCCAGCTCCCCAGGAGTGGGAGCCAGCAAAAGGAGTAAGACCAGGGCTGAACACACTCACAGTCCTTAAGAGCTTCAGACCCAGCTCCCAGCAGCTGCGTGGGGGGGGCGGGGGGGCGGCCCCGGCTCACTGGGCGGCTGGGCTACCTTTCCTGGCGCCCGGTTGGCTCATGCGTATAAAGAGCTGAGGGAGACCGGTGTGAGCCCTGCCCACGTCTGGCCAGAGACAAGGACTTCATTCCAGGCCGCTTTCTGATGCAGAGAAATGGTGTGGAGGAGTCCGAATCCAACTTCCAGTAGAGAAAGCAGCCCCAACCTCGCCCCTGAAATGAGAGACTGGGCTGCCCAGCTCTCACGAAGAAAAGGTGCTTTCCATCCTTCATTCTGTGGAGAAGAAACAGCTGGGCCTCACCGGCTCATCATCCTTGGTCTTTGATTGTCTCGGTTGTCATCAGCTTCCTCTGGGCTCCTGCCACACCTTCCCCAACCCATGCTCTCCTCAGTCACCAAGATCTTGGGGACCCACATGCACTAGACACAGCCCCTGTCTCCACGGAGCTCATGCTCCAGCCCCCACACTCATGATCAGTCCACTCCCCAAAGTGAAGATGCTTCCTTCTGGCCAGGTATGTTCTGAGATGTAGGCAGCCTTCCTCTTTGTTCCTGGGCTTTTCCGTGGGATCACACAGATCAACGTGTAAGCGGTCACCACGGGCAAGTGCCCAGCTCCAGCCCCAGGACTCCAGCCAGGCCCTCTGGTCCTCTACATCAGACGATTCCTGTTGCTACGGAGAAACCTGCCGCCACCTGGCACCCTTCAGAACAGAAAATGAAGAACTCCAGCTTTCCCAGTCCTCCGGACAACGGCCAAGGACAAGCATGCGTGGGGTGGGCAGGCTTGTTGTCAGGCTCAGCCACAAGTAAAGAGTGTTCCTTCACTCAGCAAGACTGGCCAAGCCCTGAGCAGGGTGTAGGCAGTGGCTGGGACTGACTGGCCCGTCTGGGATGAGTGCTGCAAGGGGGCAGTTTGCTCAGAGAACATCTCCCGAGGCGCCAACCTGATCTGAGAGGTCAGGGACAAGGCAGGGCTCTCTGTGAGCAGCAAAGCCCCCCCACCGCCCCCGACAGAGAAGAACTAAGCCCTTGCCCCGAATGTTTGCTGGTGAAAGAAACGGCAGCCCCACCCCCTCGGCTCGGCAGCTGGGTATCTCCGAGCTGTGTGGAGAATCAGATACCAACCCCGGGGCCAAGGAGCGGGTGAGCACACCGCAGCCCTCCTGTGAAGGGACTGCGCAGGTAGCTGTCCCTCCCGTCAGCTTTGGTTCCTGCCGTGCGGTCAACATGGAGTTCATGTGATGTTGGCTCTGCAGCTCTCCGTCTAGCCCTAGAGGCCAGTTGAGGTTTAGGAAGTTCTAGATCTGGATTTGGGGTGGGGGCTGAAACCTGGCCTAGCCAGCCTCTGTGGACCGGCAGGACAACAGGGCCTCTGCACCAAACTCTTTCAACTCTCCAGAATCCAGGACCCACTCCAGGGCCAGAGGTTTTCTCCATCCTTTCTTGGTCATCCCAGAGCTCAGCAGCACTATTATCATGCACAAGCCGGAGGCTCTCTAGGTGCTCACGAGCTCGGCCCTTGGGGTCCATGAGATGCACAAACCCCCGTGTGCGGGGTGTGGGACCCTAAGCATGGCCCTCCCTCAGGTTGCCTCAGACAGCCCTGCATCCTCCCTAGAGTCACTTGCAGGACATGGCCCATTGCCAGGAGCCCAGAGCTTGGAAAGAACTGTCTGCAGTGTTCTCACAGCCTCCTCACCACTCCACCCCTGCCCAGTCTGAAGTGGGGCTTTTCTCGGTCTGGAAAGGCACATGATGCCCAGGCCAAGGCAGGGCTATGCCTGGGCTCTGCCCTCTCCTGAGATCCATGGCAGTCTTTACCCTTGGCTTCCCTAGGGCTCTTCCTAGGCAGAGAGAGAAGCTGTTTCAGAGATGGGAGAATGTGACTGCAGGCCACCGGGCTCCCCGGGAAAACTGAGAGAAGAGATGCTCCTCTGGAGAAAGGGCCAGAGGGAGCTGTGCATCCTGAAGCAGTTCTGCAGGTCCTTGAAAGGTCGTCCCGGAAGCCAGGCCCCTCCTGCGGATGGGACGTTAGCTCCCTGTGGAAGAGGCAGCCCAGTAGAGCCTCTCTCTGGTTGCGAGGACAGCGTCGGGGACACTGAGCAGGACCACTCTCTTCATGTCCTCCTCAGCTGGCATGTGTCCAGGCTGACAGGGCCACCACCATCACTCGGGACGGACGCCCCAGAGGCCGTGTGCTGTGCCCCTGGGGAGAGTACTACCTGGGAGAGGCAGCTGCGGGACTCAGTTCCAGAATGCTTGGGATCCATCTCCAGGAGCTGCCACCCGGTCACTTCCCTCTGGAACGAGCCCTACTCATGGGTCAACCTGATAGAACATCATTAATCCCAACTGCCAATTCGGAATTTTCGACTGGGTTGGTCTGAGATTTATTTTTGCATCTTTGAGCATCTTTAGGGTCGTCTTGCAAGCTGAGTAAAGTAGGGGCTGCAAGAAACCCTCCCATAGAGATCTGGGAACTCCTTTAGCAATACCTCTCACCCTAAAATGTGGTAACGAGTAGTTTCCTTTTAAATAAACCTGAATTTATCATTTTTCCTTCTTCAGACTGTCTCCTTTTTGTTTAGCCCCCTTTCGGCCAACCCAGGTTGCTGATGCTGTAAAACATTTTAAGATTCTGGGCTGCAGGGCGCCGGCTCCTCCAGGCCATAGACACTGCAAACTATGTAACATCTTTAAATAAAAGGTCATTTTCCAAAGCGCACGTGAGCTGTCATTAATTTGCACAGGTTCCATCTGTTTGGACATTGCCTTGGGAGGATCCGGGCTCTGAGGGGATAGAGATTGAGATGGCTGCTGGGACTAGGACAGACTAGACTTCTGTGGGGATACCCTTCCACGTGCCCAAGACCCAGGCAGAAAAGAGCAAGTGATGCAAGAACTGAATGAGTGTCCCCCTCAGCACGGGCCCACTGCCACCCTCCCCCACCTTGTAGAGGACGCCTGCCATTAACAGACATTTGTCCCATTAAGACAGTTTCTAAGTGTCTCTGGGACAGAGGAGGGAGAAAATGATCTATCCTATCCCTTTCTTCACCTGACACCCTCTGAGTCTGTCAGCTGGTGCCAGCCCTTTTTGAAGCCCACATGACCCAGGTCCATTCTCCTCTCATCCCAGTTCCCATCTAGAGAGCGAGCCATTCCATCCGAGACCTTGGAGGGGCTGAAGTCCAGGGAAATGTGCACCTATTCACTGATTATCTTATGCCGTCACTTTGCTCCCTGCCCCTTAAGAGAAACCACCAACACCGATAAACTAATCATCTTTGTTGTCATTCCTTTTATACACACGTATGTACACTTTGGGCCTAACTAGTAACCTGTAACTATGGAAACGGAGGCTGCCAGCACAGCTGTGAGGACACGGACACGGGCCCCATGTGTGGCTGCCACCAGAAGTACGCCCTCCACTCAGACGGTCGGACGTGCATCGGTAAGTACGCAGCTCTGCCAGGCGCTGGCACCCTGCGCCACCCTCCCTCCCCCCAGGGCCCCCCTGCAGCCCTGAGGTTGTCCAGCACCCCAGCACCACCCCACCATGTCCCAGTTTCCAAGAAGGAAGTTAAGGGAACAAGAAAAGGAGGACCCCACGGTACTAATGGGGCTGGTGGACGTCCCCCGGGGAAGCCTTCTGTAGAGACTCATCCAGGGCCATCCAGCCACCCCGGACCAAGCATCTCTGCTTCCTGTCACTGTGGGTTTTCTGCGGGTCCTCATCCTCAACATGGGGGGTAGTCTGTGGGGGAGGAGGAGGGGGTGTGCGCCTAAGGAGGGCAGCTTCCGTTTTTAAAGCATAGGGATTTCTTCCCGATCTGGGGACACATGGCACATCCATTTAACCTGCACATCAGCCCCATTAGCAACATGAGCTGACCACCAGTCTGGAAAACCAAGAGGTTTTCTCAGAAAGCGGCTTTAAGTCTTCATAGTCTACACCAGGGGAGACTGGATGGAAGAATCCCAAGGGGCTCTGGGTGTTCTTAACTGCTTTCCACTCCTGAGCTAATGGGGTTCTCACCAGACTTCTTCTTCCAGCTAGAGTCCCTTCTCAGCGATGCCCCTTCTGTCATCTCACCTGTCTCATGGAGTCTCAATTTGAGTTTTGGTCACCTCCTTCCTCCTGGTCCTTATTTGCAGGAGGAAGCTAGAATATCTGTGGTTACCTCAATCCATAATCAGTAGTAGCTTCTTTACCCACTCAAAATAACAGATCTTTCAACTGAGAAAAAGAAGAATTTCAAAGTTGGTACCCATCCAACTTTGTTCATCCTCTGCTCTCTTTCTTTTCCATGTCGGCCAACTTCAGAAGCCCACAGTCAGTGACCATATTTATTCTTTTTAATGGGGGGCCCCATCTCTTATTACCGACTCTGAAGATATTTCTGGAGGGACTTTCAAGTAACAAAAAAGGGGTGGCAAGCAAGCAAAGCCGTGAAACCAGAGTTTGCTGTCGCATTCTGTCCCTGTGACTGCTCCCTGGTACTTCAGGGAGCAGGGCAGGGGTGCCAGGGCCCAGGCAGGCCACCAGCGTCTCACCCTAGTCCCGGCTGTCGTCCCGGGAGCTGCTGCCCGCGTGGTTCTCCCCTTCCTCTGTGTGGTCTCCTCTCAGACGGCCGTTTTGGTTTCATTTTATCTCATTCCTCCTGCTTTTCTGGTGATGGTCCCTGATTGCCTGTCTTGTCTGATAACTGACGTTCATTAATTATTTTCAGAGCCAAAAGCCAAACCAAACCAAACAACCAAAAAAAAAAAAAAATTTTTTTTTTTTTTTTTTCAAAGCAAAACCTGGTCTCAGACCAGTGTCTCTATTGCAGCCTGATCCCATCTAGAACCTCCTCTCCCACCTCTCTCCCTGTCTCCACTGTCCTGCCGGGGGCCTCCCAGGCCCACTGGCCCCTTCCTGTCTCGTCTGCTGGGTCTCCCTCGCTGTTTGTGTCTGCAGTGCAGCCGCCCCTGCCGGCCACGGGACCGGTGCAGACAGCTGCCGGCCAGACACACACCCAGCCTCGTCTAACACATCTTGTCTTTGTCCACCTGACTCGTCCCTTCTCATTTTTTTTTTATCTTTTAGTGTCTGCTGCATGTGAAGGTCCCTGCTTGGATCTACTTTCTAACCTAACCTCCCTCACCCCCTCCTCCCCTCCCCTTAGAAACCCTCTTCCAGACCCAGCTCCTGGGCCATTGCCCTCTGCTGGCCAGAACCTTCCTTCTGCCTCTGCTTACTGCTGCTCAGGATCCCCCCTCGGGAGCGCACGTCTCCACTGAGCAGAGGGCCGCCAAACAGCTAACCTCACCTGCTCCTCCACGGACAGCATCTTGGCCAAACGTCTTGCCCAGCGGCCAGAATGCTCCCCGGCCGCCCGCCCGCCCGCCTCTCCGCACGCTCCTAAAATGACTGACCCATCTGTGCAGCCCCTTGTCAAGCACTTGAATGTCTCGCTCTAGTCCTCTATAGACAAGCAGGCAACCAGCGCTGCCCAACTCGAGCCCCCGTTTTTTCTGTCTGTTCGACTGGATCCATTGTTGTGTGTGTTTGTTCTCTGTTGTTTTGTTCTTAACTTTGCATGAGTGTTTGACACACTTTCCTGCCCTTGACACAGGGCGTCTGCTGTCCAGGCACAGCCATCACCGGACCTCGTGGCCCTGTCCCTTTGTCCTGTGCCTTGTCCTGTGCCTGCCTCCCCAGCCTGAGCGGGGGGCGTCTGCAATCACTGATGCCTCCCTGCGCGCTGAGGTGGTGTGTGTGCTTCTGTGCCCCACGCCCCACCCCGCAGCTGGGTCTGTCCAGTCTGACCTCAGCCGCCACCTCTATCTGTTCGCAGCTGGGCCCTGGGTCCCACCTGTGCCCTTGTGTGGTCGTCCCCCGCTCTGCACCCCCCACCCCTGCTGCCTCCCGCCCCGAACACGCCACCTTGGAGGCTCCCGGGATTCGCCCCTCGGCGCAGACGCCCGGCCCGGCATGCTGTGTTGGCTGTGTGCGCGCCACGCCGAGAGGCTGACTGTCTTGGGCCGCGGGAAGTGGGCTGTCATTAACCACCGGCTCCGTGTTTGTCCCTTACTTGTGTTTTAGAGAAGGATGAGGCTGCAATTGAGCGCTCTCAGTTCAATGCCACGTCAGTAGCTGATGTGGACAAGCGGGTGAAACGGCGGCTCCTCATGGGTAACACTTTTCTTCCACTTCCTTTGTTGTGCTCGCGCCTTTGTCCGCGTGTGTGCGCATGCGCGTGCTGCTGTGTCGGGCTGTGCGTGCGCGCGTGCGTGTCGGCGCGCGGCTGTACGTGTGTGCGTGCGAGCGTGTTGGCGCGCGGGTGTGCGTGCGTGCGTGCCGGCACGTGGGGTGTGTGGGGGGGGGGCTGTCTGTGCGGTGTGCCCGCGTGCGTGGTCACCCGTGCCGCGTGTGAGTGGGGGCGGGCGGGCTCCGCTCCAGGTGGGAACTTTTTCCCTGTTACAGTTTATACCCTTCATCAAACACGTGTATCTGTGTGTGTGTGTGTGTGTGTGTGTAGCGAAGGCCCCAGAGCCAATGGCTAGTGGCCTCTGCGGGCGAGACGTTTGCGCTGAACCCCTCTGCTTGCAGTACCTGCGCGGGATCAGCGAGGCAACACGGAGGCCCAGAAGCGAAGGGGGTGGGGGGCGTTAGCGTAGAGCAGGGATTCAGGCAGCACGGCCCCTCTCCGGCTCCTTGCGAAGGAGAGAAGCCACATCCAGGTTCAGGACTCGCTTTATAGTTGGGAAATCTACCCAGAGAGGAGAGGACTGTTAAGGCCATCTGGCAGGCCCCGGGGAAAACAAGGTTCATTCCTCCACTTCTGGTCCCAAGGCTCCTGACTCGGTGAATGACCCAGCCTGAGGTGGGCGTAAGTGGGCAACCTTGGCCCACTTTTCCCTGGTCCCACTTCAGGCACCCGCTTGCCTCCGAGGCGGGGAGCAGGGGCAGGTGTGATGTGGGCTACACTCCAGACACTGGCCCTGGGCTGGATCCAGGTTCTAGGGAGGCTTGCCCAGAAACCCCTGGTGCTGCTCGGGGTGGCTTGGGAGGCCTGCGGGTGTGGCTGGCCCTGGGCAGGGTGAGGAAAGAGAAGGAGGGGGAGATAGCTGCTCTCAGTCTGTAGAAACACAGAGCAAGTCTGCCCTAGTTCTTCGGTTCTGTGCTTGCTGGCCCCTCGATGGTGCCAGCTGCCCAGGCCTCCGGAGCACAGCTGTAGGGAGGTTTGGGATTTTCACAACCTTCTTTGTGGCAGTCTGGTGGATTATACCAGCCTTGGGAGCTGTGGGGCCAGGTGGTACATTTCCCATGTCCTGGAGGAGGAAACAGGCTCATCAGGGTGCCCTGGCTTGTCCACGGTCACATACTACCCTGCACGGCTGAGCTTAGCCCTAAGGTCATGGCTGTGTTAGGGTCACAGGACCATGGAGGTCAGAACCACAGGGTCCCGGAGAGGTCGCCTACTTTTGTGGTCCTCATATGGACCTCAAAGGAGTCCAGGCACCTAGATAAAAGGGAGATGTAAGTGGGGCCACGGGAGGGATATGGCCTTTCATGCTGGGGAGTAGGCTTGAAGCCCATCCTCCCCGGTGGGGCTTTGAGGAGCAAAGGAGATCAGGGCTGGCTGATGGTGCTCTGTGCAGCGTGAAGTCCATGCTGGGCAGGACAGGCATAGCCCCGTTTCTCAAACGAGAACACTAAGGTCAGAGAGTCTGGAAGATTCACCTCTGGTCACACAGGCAGATGGGACAAGGTTTGTCTGGAAGCCCCCTCTCCACAAGTTCTCAGGACAGGGCTGTCATGTTGACTTGGGCTGTCTGGGTTGGCCTGGGAAGGACGGGAAATGGCCAAGGAGCGGGCTTGAAGGCTTCAGTAGGCAGGCGTACCCGCCACCATCTTGGAAGGTGTGAGTCAGGTGGCTGGAGGTGGGCGGTGGGAGCCTAAGAGCTGCTTGCTGGTGCTCTGAGGCCACGCTGAGGCCCCTCAGCCTCACTTACTGGGAGAGGTGGGTACTGCTGCCCAAGAGCAGAGCTCCAGAGCAGGGCAGGAGCAGGAACTGGGCCCCCCGAGGCCCTGTACCCCTCTCAGCAGGAGGGTGATGGCAGAAGCGGCTGAGCTGAACCGGCGTCAAGCAGGTGGGTGGCGAGGTGGAGAAAGAGCTGTGGACTTGTTTTTTCTAATTAGAGTCAGTGGGTAATAGCCTGGAGCGGGGTCAGGGAGGTGAGAAGAGACGAACTGAGAATACAGGTACCTTCACCCCAGGTTTGGCAGGCAGAGTTGGGGGAGCAGATTGGGGGGCTTGGAAGGGGCCAAGGAAAAGGATGATGGTTGGCCTGCCCTGAATTCCCACTTCTCTGATTATAGAAATCCCCTCAAGCATCCCTTTAGAGCCCATCCTGCCCCACAGGCAGAAAAAAACCTGTCCCTCCTCTGGTCTCTCTACAACACTTATAGCACGGACAAGGCCCCATGCCCGGAGCTAAGCAACCATCCTCAGAGGCTTCCATGAAAGGCACCACCCACAGCACTGTGAACCCTTCCCTCAACAGCTCATGATTCTTAGCACCTGTCTCCTCTGAGAGCAGCCCATGTGGTACAGACTTGGGGTCCGATTGGACTTCAGGCTCTAACTAGTAGCCTTTGGTGAGGATGGCTGCTCCCAGGCTATATTAATAGAGGCAAGGTATGGAGAATGAGAGAGGTGACCATCCCCGTTGCGACCTGTGCTGGTCAGAGCACAACTGGGGCATCGCATTCGGAGCCCAGCCCCGCATGGAGAGAGTCGCCTAGACGGTGTGGGGAACCAGAGTTGGGTCAGCATCGGTGGCCTGTGGGAGGGGGCACAGGCAGTTGATCTCAGTGGATCCTGTGGCTGGTGGGCCACATGAGCCCTCTTTTAGGTCCTTGGAGGGGATGGGGTAGGACTGGCAGAGGGGGAAGGACCTGGTTCTGGGGCCCAGGAGAGAAGCAGATGAGGAAGGCAAGACCCTGAGGAGTTTGACGGCAAGGTCAGACCCTGGGCTGGCCAGCTCCAGAGTCTGTGCCCCCTCGACTGCTGCACTGGACAGCTCCTCGTCAGAGGGCAGAGACAAGTGACGAGTGAGGGAGGGCGGGGCTCGAATGCCCTGGAACAGTCAGTCTACTGTGAGCAGTGCCCGTGGAAGTCACGGTACAGGGTTCCGCCAGAGCAGGGCATGTGTGCTGCAGTCACCCGGTGGCTGCGATGTCCTGGCAGGTGTCTTCTGTCCCTGAGATGCCGGTTATCTCCTGTGCCAATAGGGCTTGTTTTTAGGGTGGGTAGGATGAGACCGAGTGAGCGCAGGGTGGCGCTTGCTGCCCCAAGTGGCCCCATGAGCTCACGCATCCTCATCGTTCTCCATCGTGACCACATCAGCGACAGACTGGTCCTGCAGGCCCAGGGTGACACCCCCTGTTCCATGTCACAGAGAGGGTGGTGGCCTGTAGCAGAGCAGCTGGGGGCCATTCAGGGCTCAGTGGCCCTGCCCCAGCCTTGGGGTCTCAGCTGCACCCAGCCATTGCCATTTATAATTACCCCCAGGCACTGAACACAGGCTAAGAACAGGGGCAGTTCCGTTGTCTTTAAAGAGACTCAAACTATGTAACAGATTTTCGATTTATGTTAAAATCAGTTAAAATATTTGGATTTGAGGGTTGGAGTGATAAATTTCAAGTATCTGGCTGACTTGTGCAAAACCCCTGAGTACCCAGCTAAGTTTACCACGGGCCCCTGGGACCCCACTCCTAGCAAGACTGATGAGACGTTGTGGGTCGTTCTTGTCAACCCAAGTGTTCAGTCAGTCCCTTTCCCACAGTGTGCGTGGGATGGATGCTGTGTTAGCTTCCTCTTGCTGCTAACAGGGTACCACAATCTTAGTGCCTTACAACAGCAGGAATGCACCATCTTCTGGCAGGTCAGAAGTTGGACTTGGGACTCACTGGGCTAAAATCAAGGTGTGAGCAAGGACTGCATTTTTTCTGGAAGCTCTAGAAGCTTCTAGAACCACCCATATTCCTTGGTTTGGGGCCTCTTCCTGTCTTCAAAGCCAGCAGCATTGTATCTCTCTGACCCTGCTTCCATCAGGCTCTCTTTCTCTGACCTCCCTGCTCCACTTTTAAGGACTCTTATGACCACATTGGGCCCACCCAGATGATCCAGGACAAGCACCCATCTCAAGGGTCTTAATTTAATCACATCTGTTGAGTCCCTTTTGTCACATAGCGTCATGGGGGACTAAGACAAGGACATTTTAGGGGGCTGTTAGTCTCTCGACCCTCAAGCTTGGTCTGGAAGGAACCTCCCAGGCTGGCTGCTGTGAGGTCCAGAGGCAGAGCCCACGTCCTCCCTCTTCACTGGCTTGTTCCGGTCCACGCATCTCCAGGCACAGGTGGGGGCTGGCAGTGTGGGATGCGCTGGTCCTCACCTCCGCAGGCCCCCCCAGAGTGGGCGCCCACCACTTCCTCAGGCAGCCTCAGTGCACATCTGCCCGCTGTTTCTGGAGGACTCTTCCTCCTCACAGTGGTCTGCACCAGGGTCTGGGGTCTGTGGACTCCCAAGCCCAGGGCCCTAAGTCAGGAGCCGAGTAGCCTGAGGTGCGTCAGCCCTCCCGACTGGAATCTGTCCCCACAGCCTGCCCACTTAGGGGTCCCCCTGAGCCCAGGGGAGCCAGGTGCTTCAGGTCCAGTGAGTACAGCAATCGTTAGCCTAGAACCCCAGGTTCTCTGGGCCTTGCTCTGTCCCAGCCTTCACTCACCTCCCAGCCACCCTGAGGGTTGGCACTAAAGCAATTCCCATTTTACAGATGAGGACACGGAGGCCCAAAAAGGTACTAGGAACCCCCCCTGCATTCCCACAGCTGACACCTGCCCATCTCCCGACACCTCTCCACCTGTGAGCCAGGCTTCCCTTCCTGAGTCAGCATGATCCCATAACACTCTCACCTAGCGGGGCTCCCAGGGGGTGGTGTCAAACCGTGGAGGGGCCTGGCAGACAGGGGAGCCGCTGAGAAAGTTCCAGGAAGGGGGCCGAGGGGCTGGAGACCTGGAAGGCCGGGGAGGACCAGGGAAAGCAGAGCAGTTGTGGTCGTGGCGACATTTGGGGCTTGCAGACTGAGCCCCGTGCTTTCCCCAGCCTCATTTAACCATACAACCCCCTG